GGCCGCTGGAGGAAGACGAGGAGTCTGCGCGCCTCCCGCTGCTGCGCGCTGAGCCCGCCGCCCGCCGCCTTGGCCTGCTGCCCCTGCGCCCTTCCCTGCCGCGGCTCCGGGCCGTCTGGGCCCGCCGAGCGCCCTGAACTCTGAGCCACTTCACACAGGCTGCGCTTCCTGGGCCTGGGCGTCGGCCGAGGCTCCGCTGCGCGAGGCGGAGGTGAGCCCGGCCTTGTCTCCTCCGTGCCGGCTCCACCTGGGCCTGGCGAGGCCCGGGCCCTGCGGGTCTGGGAGACCCCTGAAGCCTCGACCGGTCTCTCGGTGCTCGGCCCCACTGGCCCTCCGCGCCTTTCCTCCAGGCGGGACGCCACCCCATCAGAGGGAGCTGCCCTAGGGGCGCTCCCCTGGGGCCCCTCTTGCCTAGGGAAGGGGTGATTTTTCAGGACCATGGCCATGAGGGTTCCCCAGCCGCCTGAGACCTGCCTCCCCTGGGAGCCCTTGGAGAGAGTCGTCCTGGGCTCCCGAGCAGCAGAACTCCTGACTGAACCAGCTGGGGCTGGGGTGAGAGTTGGAGCTGGACTTGGGGCTGGGGCTGAGGCTGGGGTTAAAGTTGGAGTCTGGGCAGGTGTAGAGGCTGGGATTGGTGTTGGGGCTGGGACTGGGACTGGGGTTGAGGTTGAGGTTGGGGTTAAAGTTGGAGTCTGGGCAGGTGTAGGGGCTGGGGTTGGGGTTGGTGCTGGGACTGGGGTTGAGGTTGAGGTTGAAGTTACAGTTAAAGTTGGAGTCTGGGCTGGGATTGTGGTTGGGACTGGAGCTTGAGCTGGGATTGTGCCAGGTTTGGGACTTGGAGTTACAGCTGCGGCTAAAGTTGGGCTTGGGGATACAGCTGGGGCTGAAGTTGGGCTTGAGGTTACAGCTGGGACTGCAGTTGTGGTTAGTGTTGGGGTCAATGTCTGGGTCTGGATTGGGGGTGTGGTCAGGGTCATGGTAGGGACTGCTCTAAAATGCTCACCCTCAGAAGGCCCCTGGCTCACCCTGTGTGTTGCCACGCCTGGAGGAGAAACGGTTGGAAGAGTGGGGACTGCAGGTGAGTGACCACCACAGAGATGAACTGTGGGTGAAGAGGTAGAGGGGAATTGCTCAGAAGGAGCACCTGTGGGGGTGGGGGTGGAGGAGCTCGGGGAGGGGGTGCAGCCTGGGGCACCTCTCGAGAGGGCTGAGACTGGCTTCTCTGCATCCAGGGGCTGCCCCGGCCCCAGGTCAACAGCCTGGCTGCCGGTGACCTGCTTGCGGGTCTCGTCCCCCTGGGCCTGCCCAGCTCCTGGGCCTGCTCCAAGACTGGGGCCCTCTTGCCTTTCTGCCTCGCCTAGCCCCAGGCTCCGGGGAGTGTGGGCATCCTGAGGGGCACTTGCCCCTGCCTTGGCCACATTGAGATCCTCTGGAGTCTCTTGCCCTGGGGATGAGTATGGGTGGTCCCTACATGGTCCCCCTGATGATGGGTCCCCAGAGCCTGGAGCCTGGAGGAAGCTCCTGGTGATCAGGACCTCCCTGCTGGCCCAAGGCCAGCCTTCCTCAGGGACACTGCCTGGGCCCCCTGGGGTTTCCCTGCTCCCACCTGCTATGGGCCCCAAGCCCAGAGCCAGGACTGGGACTGGTTGATCCTTCTTGAGGCCATTGGCCAGGGACCCAACCTGCACAGTGTTGGGCTCGGGCAGCTCCTGAGAAGCAGGTCCCTGGGGGGAAGGAGGTGATTGGGAGCCTTCCAGGGGCCTGCTGGTGGGGGCAACTTCAGCGGCGGCAGCCACAGCAGCGTCCACGGCGTCCCAAACACTCACCACAGCACCCAGCCGCAATGGGTCCGGTCTGGGTGAGCGGGGTCTGTCTCCTGAGCTCGTGTCCCCCTGCCTCCGCTGACGGCTGCCCCGGCCTCTCCCCCGTAGACGAGATGGTCCTGCCCCTAGCAGCCAGGGGCTGGTGTCCGGTTCAGATGCGTGGCTGGGGGTCTGGGCCGCTGGCTCCTTGGGACAGACAGCCTCCACCTCTCCGCCAGGATCCCGAGGGGTGAAATGGATCAGGATGGGCCGGGACATGCCCCCTGCTTTGCTCCTTCCCAGGGGGTCAGGGCTTGGTCCTGGAGGCTGCCTTCCTGGGTCTGCAGGGTCTTCCAAGGCACCCCTGCTGCGAAGCTGTCCTCGGTCCTCGGTGCCGACTGCCTTTCCAGGCATCTGAGGCACAGGCCCCGCTGAGGCGGCTGGGTGTCCCCTGCCAGGGGACTCCTGGGCCCGAGCACCTGCAGTCACAGTGGGGGCACCCTGGCTGTATGCTGGGAGCGTTGACTTCCCCAGCCCTGGTTCCTCAGGACCATCACTCATCTTGGCCTTTGGGTGAGGGGCTGGCTCTGCTCCCACCTGAGGAGGCTGGGTCTGGGGGGTTGCAGACACTGGGCCAGCTGCCTCCTGGTCCTGCCCGGAGCCAAACCAATGTAGGGCCAGGGCCGTGGCGACCACCACAGCCAGTGCCAGCAGGGTCAGTACGGCGCTGTCCCAGTCCTCGTCCCCATCTAGGTCCCAGCCCCAGTGGGGGGCATCAGTCTCCGAGGCACCTAGAGCCATGATGATGGGTGGAGGCCGTCAAGAGGGCCTAGGTGGATGGGCAGTCACCACCGTGGGCAGCCTCGAATTAGGGGTGTTGTGGTGGTCTGGGTAAGGCTCCACCTGGCCTTGCAGGACTGGATCTTGTTAGCTGCGTGGCCGGGGCTCCTGGTGTCAGGGGGAGGCTGCAGGAGTTAGCGGCCTCTCCCAGCCCCCGGTGCGGTTCCCTCTCCCTCACCTTTCCCGTCGGTCCTTGGGGGCAGTTGGCAAGTTTCTGAGTCCCCGGCTGACATCTCAGCAAGCTGCCGGCCCGCGGCCCCTCTCACCCAAGCTCGCCCTGCTCCGAGTCCTGTTCTGAGCTGGACCGGCTGCAGGGGGACTGTGTGGGGAAGAGTTACCACAAGAAGATGCTATCGCAGCCTGGGCAATGTGATGCAGCCCTGATGAAGTTACCAGAAACCGGAGCAGCGGGTTCCACTGGGGGAGGAGTGGGCTGCGGGTAGGCAGATAGGAACTCAGAGGGCCGGGCCCTATGGGCAGGCCTGCAGGTCAGGGAAAACCATGCTGGTGTGGTGTCTTGACTGTGGGGACTCCTGGGGTGGGCAGAGATGGACTTGTCTTCCAACATGAAGTGTGGGTGCATGAAGTCTGCAGCCTGTGGCCCTGCCGCTTGACCCCTATGTCCCCACCCCCTCCTGGCAGCCTAGCTTTCCTCCTCGAAGCTCAGCAGAGATAGGAGGGCCTTTCTGAGGATGCTTTGCTGCCAGGAAACAACGATGAGCACCCCAAAGTTTGCTCTTGGGGGGGTCAGTCTTACAATCGCCTGGACTGTCCCGTCCATGTCCTGGAGGACAATCGTGACCGCCCATGGAGAAGCCATGCCTGGCCTGCTTCTACTCCTCGTGGGCCAGCACTCAGGGGGCCTGGTGCCCATGCCCAGACCTTGGCCAGGCTGTCTCCCAGACCACATCTCCAGCCCCCTCCCTCCGGGGGAGTTCAGTTTCACCTGGGGTCCATAGTCTGCCTGGGTGTGGCCCTGCTTCCCTCTGTATCTGGTTTCTGGGGAGAGAGAGGAGGGGGTGGGGCACCCATGTCTCTGCCATCTGCTTCTCAGGAGCAAGTCCTGGGACAGGTGCCAGGTGGGCCCACTGATGAGGTTGGGCTGGGGTCCTCAGGACAGAGGTGGTCCTCCTACTAGGACATGGGGACTTCCTCCTGACTCGGGATAAGAAGGCAGCTGAAGTCCCTGGCACCCAGCCTGGCTCTGGTTAGCTTCAGCTATCTTGCCCATCTGGTCCCCTCCCAGCTCCCTCCCTGGGGCCTATTAGGTGACCATCCCCCAGATGGTAGGGTGGAGGTGGGTGGGGCAGGACTTTCTAGACACGCTCCTTATTCTGGGTCCAGCTCAGGCTCTGACATCTTGGCTAAGTCTGGGGCCCGAAGGCCTTGGGAGAAACCAAACGACTTCCCCAGTCTGCTGCTCCGCTCTGGCTGCATAGTGCCCCCTGCCCCTACCATGTCCTCCATCCCTGATGCTCCTCTCTGACTGTAGAGTGCCCCCAGCATGTCCTCCATCCCTGATGCTCCTCTCTGACTGTAGAGTGCCCCACCATGTCCTCTGTCCCTGCTGCACATGCTGAAGGTCCCTCTTCCCTGGCCCCTGGGCTGTGAGGGAGGACAGGAGGCAGACCACTTGGCGATGCTTCCCACTCACTGCCTTAGAGTCGATCCCTTGTCTAGAACTCTTTAGGGTTTTAGAAAGCCTTTCTTTCTCCTGGGGGGTGAGGGGCACCTGGTGGTTTAGAAACAACGTTACACCACCATCCCATCAGGGCTCCTTTGATGACTGGCTAGAATAACCATGTTAAGTCATTTACCCCACCCTTGTATCTAAAGTGTAGGAGTCCGGATGGTGGAGTAGTTACTTGCTGAACTGCGATCACATGGTCAGCAGTTCAAAACCACCAGTTCAGCAGGAGAAAGACTGGGCTTTCTGTACCCATAAAAGTTAGTCTCTCTGAGTCAGCCTTGAGTAGAAGGTTGTGAGTTTGAGTACCTCAAGTGTGTCTTCTGTAAACATTGCCACCCACATGTGGGGTGGGTCACCACAATGGGAGAGCCCACCCCACCTGGTAACTGGCCACGCTGGCCACACTGGACAGTTCCCCACAGTGGTAAGGGCAGCACAGGGAAGTGGGGCTGCAGACGCACCCCAAGAGGGTGGGACAGAGCTGATGCAGGCACTAGTCCGGTTTCTCTGTTGCAGGGGGGTGGGGTGCTGAACGCAAGAAGTGCTCTACTATCAGAAGGGCGATAACAACCAGGAAAGTGGGCTTCGTGTGGCATAATTCTGTTTGTGTTCCAAAGTATGTCTGTACTTTATAGTTGCCTAAAGAAACCTGGAATAGTTTTGTTTTTGTTTTTTTAAAGCCTAGAAAACATGAACAATCCCTTACGAAATCCTTAGACACCCAGAGAACACCCGTAGGGCATTTGCAGGGGGCAGGCAGAGCTTTAAGTAGAAACAAGTTATAAAGAGAAGCAACGGGGTCTGGCCAATGTAGGGAAGAGGAGGCAAGTGTCCGTTAGGCAGGACGAAAAATGAAAGGACAGCACCAGACATCAGTGTGGTCCCGAAAACACACATTAATAATTACTGATGGCATGGCTAGACTGTGTGACCCCAGTGTCCCCAAGTAAAATGTCGTGGGCACAAGATAAAGTGTTTACAAACACTCGGAAGGCAGAGGGAAGAGCTGCAGAGCATAATAGATTCACTTCCGCTTGACTGAAGGATGTTGTGGGTGGCTTCTTGAAGCCCATTGCTGAATCAATGTACTTAAGTCTAACATGCAGAAATGACCCTGAGGCCATGTAGATGTCGCATTCACGGAAAATTGAATGTCATAAAGATGTCAGTGGTCCTCACACTGATCTAGATTGGGTCCATGACGTTTCAGTTAAAATCTCAATAGGTGTGTGTGTTTCTTTGTCCGTGTCTGTGTTCATCTGTGTGTATCTATGTTTGGTTCTTATGTGTCAATGTGTGTGTGTGTCTGTTTGTGTCTCTTTGTATCTGTGCCCAAGTCTCTGTGCCTCTGTGTGTGTGCTTGTGTCTCCATTATCTGTGTGCCTCTGGGTCTGTGTGTGTACCTGTGTCTCTGTGTATGTGCATCTGTGTGCATGTACATGTGTGTGCACATGTGTTTAAAGGAGAGAGCCCTAGCAGCATTATTCCACTGCACATGGATTCCAACATGATAATTAGCACCAATCTTCCCACTGAAGAAAGTTCAAAGAGCTGTGCTAAAATATGCAAGGTAACATTTCAGAAGACCGGTCCCAAGCTCTGGAAAGTGAGGACTTGCTCATGCGCTGAGCATGGAGAGAGGCGACCTGTCCCTCCAAGCTGCTCTGGTCAACGGTGGCCTCGTGGGGCAAGGGGACAAAGCTGAGGCACTCGCAGGTGGGGTCAGACAAGCCACGCTGCTCTGGATTAGATGGTCTGCCCCCACAAGTAGGCTACTAGAATCCTGTATTAGTCTAGGTACTTTGGAGAAACAAATCCACAGCGACTCATGTATAAGAGAGAATTTTATGTAAAGAAAAGGTGCATCATGAAAATATCCCAACCCAATGCTGCCCAAGCCCACAAGTCCAACATGAACCCATTAACCCAACACCAGTCCACAAAGTCCTCCACCTCACAAAACAGAGGCAATGATGCCGACTGCAGGAGGAAAGCTGAGTCCGTGAACGTGTAAGCATCTCAGCACTGGCAAGGGTCTCCACACGGCTGCTCCAGCACCCAGGGCTGCATCGGGATAGGTCCATGTAGCTTCTCCTTGGGGATGTCTTGTAGGAAATCCATCTTGCAAGCTGAAGCAGGGAACTGCTAAGGCAGCTGCACCCGATACAACCATCACAAAACAAGAGACCCGAGAACTAGAAAGGCGAGGCTTCACCACCCATTTATCCCTCCACCTTTCGACCAGCACCACATGTGATTATCGGCCAGGCTGGCACAATTCACTAACTCAAATCCTGTTTGGAAACAGGGTTTTCTCTGTAGTGTTACTGAAGCAGAATCTCTGTGCGCCGTGCCCCAAACCTGACCACAGTAGCACGGTGAGGAGAGCAAGAACCATTGCAGAGGCCAGAGGCCACATGAGGTCTCTAAGAACTTGGAGACATGGAGCTACAGAAGCTGACAGGGACAAGGACCTTCCCCCAGCACAGGAAGAGAGCCTTCCCCTCGAGCCAGCTGGCTTTGAGCTCAGACAGCTGGCCCACCTCCCAGACTGTGGGAAACAGACAAGTGGCAGAAGTTATCAGTAATTGCTTTCTATGTGAATGGGTTAAAGTCACCTACTAAAGGCAAATACATTAATATTCTGTCTACAAGAGACTCACTTTAGATACTGTGCTGGAGTAAATTACTGAATAGGGCCATTCTAGCCAGTCACAGGAGGAGCCTTGGTGGCATGGTGGTTACACGTTGGACTGCTAACTGCAAGGTCAGCAGTTCAAATCCACCAACTGCTCTGCAGGAGAAAGATGAAACTCTACACCCATAAAAATGTAGTCTTGGAAACCCACAGGAGCAGTTCTGCTCTGTCCCATCGGGTCACTGTGAGTCGGAATCAACTTGATGGCAGTGAGCCAGTCATGATTGGGGCCACTATGTAAATAAGGTGCTTATGGACCACGAAGGGGTTAGATGACTTCATGCTTAGTGCAAATAAAGTGCATGGAGCCCTAATGAGGAGATGGATCATGTGGTAGTTACATAATCTGTTGTACATTTGAGAGACTTGAGAGTGAAGGGGTGGAGTTTAGCCGCAGCTTGGTGACCTCATTTGGAGGTGCTAAGGAGATAAATATAGCTCACTGTGAGACATTTCTGATGAGAAGCCACATGGAGTTATCCTGATGCACTCAGAGCCCTGGGAGCTGGAGGAGCCATGTGAAGACCCCTGCCAGTGCTGAGATGCTTACAGTGCCACTGGATCCACGATCCC